GAGGAGGAAAGGAGGAGGAGGATGAAAGGAGGAGGAGAAAGATGATGAGGAGGAGGAGGAGGTAGAGGAGGAGAAGAAGGAGGAGGAGCAGGAGGAGGAGGAGGAGCAGGAGGAGGAAGAGGAGGAGGAGGGTCGAGGAGGAGGAGCAGGAGGAGGAGGAGGAGGAGCAGAAGGAACACCAAGGGAAATGAGGATGATCATGAGGATGACGAGGAGAAGGGGGAGCCAGCAGGGGGGGATTGCTTTGACATTTTGCCGCAACGAGGACAGGGCCTGCAATTGCACGAAGGGGACGCGGAGGAGGAGAATGTGGAAGAGGAGGAGGCGCAAGGAACGAGGAGGGACGAGGAGGACGGAGGAGGAGCAGGAGGAGGAGGAGGCGGAGAAGAAGGAGGCGAGGGGGAATGCCGAGGGAGAGCCAGGATGGGGGAGGATTGTTTTGGCATTTGACCACAACGAGGACAGGACCTGAGGGCGGGACGAGCACTGACACACCCCTTCAGCTTTCCAGAAGAGCGCGGCAAGCTGGAAGTACGAAATCACCACGCAGATCCCTTGCAAGGGCAATCACGACGATGACGACGATGATGATGATGATGATGATGATGATGATGATGATGATGATGATGATGATGATGATGATGATGATGATGATGATGATGATGATGGTGATGGTGATGGTGATGGTGATGGTGATGGTGATGGTGATGGCGATACTGCTGCTGCTGCTGCTGCTGCTGCTGCTGCTGCTGCTGATGATGATGATGATGATGATGATGATGATGATGATGATGATGATGATGATGATGATAACGATGATGACGCTGCTGATGCTGATACTGGCACTGATGCTGATGATGAGGGTGAGGATGAGGATGAGGATGCGGATAAGCATGAGGATGAGGATGATGCCGATGGGAATGTGGACGATGAGGATGATCATGAGGATGAGGAAGAGGATGCAGATGCGGATGAGGATGAGGATGATAATGATGATGACGATGATGATGCTGCTGATGATCATGATCATGATGACGATGACGATGACGATGATGACGGCGACGACGATGGTGATGACGATACTGGTGGTGATGATGATGGTGATGTTGAATATGCGGATGAATCGGATGCTGATGATGGTGATGATGGTGATGATGCTGATGGGGGGATGATGCTGTTTACCGTCCTTACGCTGATGATCATGATGATAACGATGCTACTGATGATGATGATGCTGTTGCTGATGATGAGGTTGACGATGATGACGATGACGATGATGCTGATGCTGATTCGGATGCTGAGGATGTTGCTGCGGATGTGTATGCGGATGCGGATCATGATGACGCTGACGACGATGATTATGGTGATGATGATGAACATGTTGCTGCTGCTGATGATGATGCTGATGGTGGTGATGATCGTGATGATGGTGTTGGTGATGATGATGGTTATTTCATCGCTTCGCTCATTCCGCCGGTTGCATCATTGGTACTATATGTTTGTGTGTTCGTGGCGAGCGAAAAGGTAAAGGAGGAGGACGAAGAGGAAGCAAAGGGGGGGATGAGGATGAGGAGGAGGTCTCTGGAGAGCTTTTTGTGTCAAGTTGGGGCGAAACTGGTCATGGACAAGGCGCCTCTTTGGGAGCGCTTGGGGTCTTCTGGGAGGCCTCTCGGGGGTCTCTTGGTGCGCTTTCGTTCGAGGGTTGAGGGTCGTGGACGCAGAGGGGGGAGAAGGATGAGAGGGACGAAAGAAGGAAGGGCTGGTGAAACGATAGAAGGCCTCTTTTGGCGCCTCTTGGCGGTATGTCTGACACTTTCTGGGGCAGTGCGGGGGCCTCTTGGGGGCCTCTTGGGTTTTTTTTGTGCCTCTCGGGGGTCTCTTGGGGCCTCCAGGAGACCTCTCTGCGCCTGGAGCTCGAAATGTCCGCTCGGGTCCCTCGTCTGGGTCCGCTCTTAACGCCGTCTTGGGAGCCTCGTCGGCCATCTTGGAGGCCTCTGGGGCTGTCTTGGGGCCCTCTGGGGCAGTTGTGGGCGCTCTCGGAGGCCTCTTGGGCCGTGTTGGGGCGATCCTGGAAGCCTCTTGGGCCGTCTTGGAGCCTCGGTAAGCCCCAAAGGCGAGAACGCCAAAAACCTTCAAACATTGAAGGAGCATCTGTAATTTCTGCCTCTGTGGAGCGTCTTGGGAGGTCTCTTGGGGCCTCTTGGGGGTCTCTTGGGGCCTCCAGGGGACCTCGCTGCGCCTGGAGCTCGAAATGTCCGCTCGGGTCCCTCGTCTGGGTCCGCTCTTAACGCCGTCTTGGGAGCCTCGTCGGCCATCTTGGAGGCCTCTGGGGCTGTCTTGGGGCCCTCTGGGGCAGTTGTGGGCGCTCTCGGAGGCCTCTTGGGCCGTGTTGAGGCGATCCTGGAAGCCTCTTGGGCCGTCTTGGAGCCTCGGTAAGCCCCAAAGGCGAGAACGCCAAAAACCTTCAAACATTCAAGGAAAATCTGTAATTTCTGCCTCTGTGGAGCGTCTTGGGAGGTCTCTTGGGGCCTCTTGGGGGTCTCTTGGGGCCTCCAGGGGACCTCGCTGCGCCTGGAGCTCGAAATGTCCGCTCGGGTCCCTCGTCTGGGTCCGCTCTTAACGCCGTCTTGGGAGCCTCGTCGGCCATTTTGGAGGCCTCTGGGGCTGTCTTGGGGCCCTCTGGGGCAGTTGTGGGCGCTCTCGGAGGCCTCTTGGGCCGTGTTGAGGCGATCCTGGAAGCCTCTTGGGCCGTCTTGGAGCCTCGGTAAGCCCCAAAGGCGAGAACGCCAAAAACCTTCAAACATTGAAGGAACATCGGTAATTTCTGCTTCTGTGGAGCGTCTTGGGAGGTCTCTTGGGGCCTCTTGGGGGTCTCTTGGGGCCTCCAGGGGACCTCGCTGCGCCTGGAGCTCGAAATGTCCGCTCGGGTCCCTCGTCTGGGTCCGCTCTTAACGCCGTCTTGGGAGCCTCGTCGGCCATTTTGGAGGCCTCTGGGGCTGTCTTGGGGCCCTGCAGTTGTGGGCGCTCTCGGAGGCCTCTTGGGCCGTGTTGGGGCGATCCTGGAAGCCTCTTGGGCCGTCTTGGAGCCGTAAGCCCCAAAGGCGAGAACGCCAAAAACCTTCAAGCATTGAAGGAAAATCGGTGATTTTTGCCTCTGTGGAGCGCTTGGGAGGTCTCTTGGAGGCCTGTGGGGGCGTCTCGCAGGCTCTTTGGGTTGTCTGGAGGCCATCTTTGGCGTCTTGGATCGCTCTTGGGCCGTCTCGGGCCATGTTGAGCTCTCTTGGAGGCCACTTGAAGCGCTCCTGGAACGCTCTTGGGAGCCTGCTGGGACCTGGCCAGGACCTGCCCGGGACCTGGCCGGACCTGGCCAGGATCTTACCGGGACCTGGCCGGGACTTGCGGGGGTATTTTTCGTCTGGGGACCCCCAGGGGCGGCCCCGCGCGCGCGCGAACTAGAATATTGTTAACCAGTCACCGGAGATCTTAGCACGCCCTTGGCCCGTTGGGCCGGCCAATTATGGTAGTGGTGATGGTGATGGTGATTGTATGTGATTGTGTGGTGGTAGGGGGGGAATGGTGATGGTGGTGGTGGTGATGGTGATGAGGAAGATAAAGATGAAGATGGTGATGATAATGATGAGGATGGTGATGATGATGCAGATGATGATGCTGCTGGTGGTGATGATGCTGAAGATGATGATGATGATGATGGTGATGATGATGATGATGATGATGATGATGATGATGATGATGAACATGAGATGCGGCTGATGCTGTTGATGATGATGAATTGTGACGGGTGATTCGCGAATGATGATGGTGATGATGATGATGATGATGATGGTGATGCTGATGTTGATGATGATGATGCTGATGACGATGGTGATGACGATGACGCTGACGCTGACGATGACGATGATGATGATGATGATGATGCTGATGATGCTGGTGATGAGGATGATGCTGATGGTGGTGGGGATGATGATAATGATGCTGATGATGATGATGATGATGATGATGATGCTAGCTATGATGATGATAATTGTGATGATGCTGATGATGATGGTGGTGGTGGTTATGGTGATGGTGATGGTGGTGGTCGTGGCGAGTATGGTGATGATGATAGTTGTTATGACGCTGCTGATGATGCTGGTGATTACGTGGTTGATGATGATGAAAATGATGATGATGATGATGATGATGATGATGATGATGATGATGATGATGATGTCCATGATGATGATAATGGTGATGATGATGATGATGATGATGATGATCATGATGATCATGATGATCATGATGATCATGACGACGACGACGATGACGACGATGATGATGATGATGCTGTTGATGTTGATGATGATGATGATGATGATGATGATGATGATGATGATGATGATGATGATGATGATGATGATGATGATGATGATGATGATGATGATGATGATGCGTTTAGTCGTAGACGTGAATACCCCTCGGCCACTCCACGCCCGCCATAACATTTCAGCCTTGCGTGCCTCCGCTACCGCGGTGGCTCAAGTCCAAGAGGCCCCCGCGCGGCCGGCCTTGGATTGAAGGCGGGCCGCCCTCGCTGTGGGCGACGCTCTTGGCAACCTGGAGCGCGACTCTCGGAGCCTGCTGGTCCTGGGGCTGGGCACAGACCCTTTCAGTGCCAGTCTGGGTGCCGTCCCCGCCGCTGAGCTGTGGCGCGGAGGACGGGTGCCACTGCTCCTGCGACAAGGAGCTGCGACACATCATCGACCTCCAGGCGGAGGTCTGGGCGCTGAGGTGCCTACTGCTCGCTGGGCTGCTACTGCTCGGCTTCGCCACCTCGACCGCAAGCCTGCTGGGGTTCCTGGCGGGAGTGTGCCGCCGCTGCGGCTACGGCGCCCGCGGGCGCGCGCCGGGCGAGAGAGCCGCGGCGGCCGCACAGGAGCGCGAGGAAAACCCCTTGGTGGTAGCGGCGGGAGGCGCCGGCCCCTCGACGCCTAGTCGACGACATGGCTGACGTGGTGACGCTCGATGTGGGAGATCCGCATATCTTAGTGCGGTACGAGAACGACCCGCACGGCTTCTTCTGGCATCACATATTGTTGTTGTTCAGGGTGAGTGAGGACATATGGATCTGCCTTACCCCAGATCACGATTTAGTCCGTGTCAAGTTGCTAGACACACGCCACGAGGTGCTCGAGCGCAGAGCCCCCTTCCCGGCACACCTGGCGAACCAGGTGTACGCCCACGACCCGATCGGGGGAGCGGCGTTCGCAGCCTTGCGGCGCCGAGCGCGGCTTCAAGGACAGCTGCTCGGCGTCGGCCAGGTCGACGCGATCGAGCGCATGATCTGGGTGGTGGCGGAGCCGCGGTCCCACAGGTTCGGCGAGATCATCGACGCGGCGTTGATGGGGGGGACGGGCTTCGACCAGAAGGGCGTGGCGGTCCTGGACGGAGAGGAGTTCTTCGTTCAGAAGATCGCGGCCAGCGGCCTGAGTGACTTCAAGAGGGATGCGAAGGCCGACATGGGGGACGTGCGCACGCTGGGCGACCACCACGACGAGGCGGGCCAGAGGATACTGAGGCTGTCCGAGGCGGTGGCGCTGATGCGCGACGTCGAGCAGCCTAACTACCCGCTCACAGGAGTCAAGAGCGTAAAAGAGTTCCTGGACAGCGTAGCCTCGTGGCATGGGAATATGGCATCGTACCAGGCCGAGTGGGAGAGGCTCAGCGGCATCGGAGAGGGCTCGGCGGTCAACCACGCGCACAGGAACCGATGTGAGGTGATCAGGCTGATGCACTCCCGGGACCAGGTCGACGTGTCGATGTTGGCCTCCGCGGAGCTCCTGGTGCGCTGGCTGATCCAGACGGAGATCGCAGTCGAGCGCAACCCGCGCCGCCCCGACTACAGTGGCCTGGACATCGTCATCTCCGCGCCCGTCAACGCCGTCGATCGGGCCTCCACCTCGAAGTTCAACACCTGGGCCACGGATCGGCTCAAAGAGAGGGCGACGATCCGGAAGCAGGAACGTCTCTACCGGGAGGAGCAGAAGCAGACCCGCAAGGGCGACGGCAAGGGTAGCAGCAGCCTCGACCCGAACCTGAAGCGGCACCCCAAGAAGTCGAAGGGAGGAGCGGCCGGCGCTGGTGGCGGCGCCGGCGAGGAGGGATGAGGCCTCTCAGGGCCGTGGGGGGGCCGGCGCTGGCAGCCCGGGCGCCGACAGACCCCCCCCGCGGCCGACATCCACGTGGGCTCGCCGCCTCCCGTGCTGGAGGCATCAGGTCACGCGATCGCCGGCAGGGAGATCCCTTCCCGCTGCCATGCGACGCCGCTGGCCTCGGCGATGCATGCGACCCTGCGCGGCTTCGGCAGGCTTTTGACTCGGTTCGGGCCCTGAACCAGCTTGCCGCCGCCAGCCTGAATTCACGTCGTGCCCAGGGACACGACCTACCACCTGAGGGGCACTTCCGGCCCACCGCTGTGCAACGCTGGATGCCCCAGAATGTCGCGCGGCGGGTTGAGGCGCATGGGGATTGCCCGGCTGACCTCGCAGAGGAATCGTCCCGCGCGGAGATCCTCGACTCCAGAGACCACTACGGCATGGAGCCCAAGAACTTGGCCAGCTTCGACTTCGACAAAGTCAAGATCCTGCATCGGAGAGTTCACGTTCGGCCCATTTGACGAGAGTTACCACCTGCAGCTCTTGGCCACCTCAGGCACGCTAGCGACCTGATCAAGAGAGACGAGGCGGAGCTAGAGAGGGGCCGAGCCGAGGGCCAGGGGTTCTCGCCGCATTGGGACCCCGCTCTTCGGCGCTCGCGATACCTACGGAAGCGGCTGCATCAGCGTCTGAGTCAGCAGGGCCTTCTGACTTGGCGCCGGCGGCTGAAGGCGCGCGCGGGCATCTTCGTGGTCAAGAAGAAAGATGGACTCCAGAGACATATCATCGGCGCCCGTGCGGCGAATAGGGCACGTCGGCTCCCACCTACTACTCGACTGGGTTCGTCTCGCTGCATGGCGGACCTTGACCTCTCCGACCCCCGCCTGAAGGCCTCCGGCTTCGGGGGGATAGGCTCGGGGACTGTCGCCAGCTCGGCGGGGCTGGAGGGCGACGTCGGGGACTGCTTCTACAACTTCACGATTCCCGAGTTGGCTTCCTGGTTCGGCTTCGAGGACCGCTTCGACACCGTGGAGCTGGGCGACATGGGCTGCCGGCCCGCGACCGTGTGGGACGACGCCACGGGGGCCGAGTCCGAAGTCGTGGACGGCGAGGCGCTGCACCCTTGCATGACGGCCGCGTGCATGGGCTGGTCTTGGGCACTGTACTTCGCTAACGAGGCCGTCGCCTACCGAGTGGAGAAGACGCTCGCCGACGGCCCTGACCAGATCATGAGAGAGATGCATCCTGCACCCATTTTGAAGCCCGGCAAGTGCGCGACGGGCGTGCACGTGGACAACGCGCAGGTGATCGGAGGCTGCAAATCTGACACAGCGAAGCAGATGACGGATATTGAGAACAGTTTTGGCAAGGACAACATTCTGTCCGATATCGAGTCGGGCGGTGAGTTCGAGATGCAGACGCTGGGTTTGGTGTTTCACTGGAGGGGGCGGCGACTTCGGCACATGACACGACGGGTCTGGCGTGCTTTCTTGGCTGGGCACGCTCTCCTGCGGCGGCGCGAGCTCCATGGGCACGCCCTCCAATGCTGGCTGGGACACGTCGTGAATCTGAACCAGCTCTGTCCCGAAGCCATGTCCGCTCTGAACGCCTGCTACCGCTTCATCGACGAGGCCCTGGAGGTGCCGAAGCGGACGTGGCCCTCGGTGAAGTCGGAGATCCGTTGCGCGATGAACCTGCTTTTCCTGATGGAGGCCGACCTCGGCGCCCAGTTTTCCGACCGGGTCTACTGCGGGGACTCCTCCACCCGCGGTTACGCTTTGCACGTGACGGCGGGGGGGCCCGGCGAGATCCGCGAGGCCTGGAAGTGGCGGGAGCGCTGGCGGCACGGGGGCGTCCCGACGGTGGAGGGCCAGGTGTCCGAGGGCCTGGGCTACGTGCAGGGCGGCGCCCCAGGCTTCGCTACTGGGCCGCTGACCGCCTTCGGCCAGGCCCTCCGCAGCCGGGCGGAGGCGCGCCCGAGGCCACGCGGCCGCTCGGCGGCTGGCAAGGTGGGCCGCGCCAAAGTGACCCTGGACTCGGGGATCCCCGCGCTGGCCGACGGCTGGACCCACCGTCGGCGCTGCCACTTGGTGGCGGCCGACCGCTGGCGCTGGCAGGACGAGCGCGTCGACCTGAAGGAGGCGAGGGTGGCCCTGATGGGGCTGCGACGACACTGCCGATCCGTCAGGCTGCTGGGTTCGAAGCTGCTGACGCTGAGCGACAGCCAGGTCACCGTGGGGGCCCTCGAGAAGGGTCGCTCTAGCGCTGGCCTGCAGGCATTGTGCAGGCGGGCGGCAGCTTGCCGGCTGGTGGGGCAGATCGCATGACGGCTACGCTACATCGAGACGGATCGGAACCCGAGCGACTTCGATTCCCGCCAGTGGGTTGCCAAGTGCACGACGGGGCAGCCGGCCTTGGCGCTTGAGCGCCGGCCGAGGCCTGAGGCGCCGCCAGACCAGACGGCGACAGCGGTGGGCCCCGCGGGGAAGGCGGAGGCCATCGACCCCTGCGGCTTCTTGCCCAGCGTCGCCGACACGCACGTTTCTCTCGAGGGTGAGCTGAACGAGTCCCCTCTCCCTCCGTCATCTTCGCTACCGACATCGGCTTCATCAATCTCTCGCCCTACAATTCAGAACGAGCCTGGTCACTCAGTTTTTTGTTTGGAGCTCTTTGGAGGCCAAGGGCAGTTGACTCGAGCTTGCAAGAGGAGAGGATTCCCTTTTACCGATCCCGTGGGCATCAAAGATGGGTGCGAGTTTGACCTGTCTCGGCGCACTACGCAACAATATATTGGATCTGGCCCGCAGAGGCCGTTTACTGTATGTGCATATTGGGACACCTTGTCAAGTCTGGAGTATCGCGCGTCGGGGCATCAAAAACCATGAACGAGCACGTGCCAGGGAACGTCTTGGGATTGAGTTCGCACTGTTCACGGGCACGCTGTGTCATGTACTATCTCGGCGTGGGGCGCTCTGGAGCATCGAGAATCCTAGGACTTCGAGGTTGTGGAACTTCGACCCTATCGCTCGGCTACGTGGGCTCCCCGAGGTGACGGAGGTTAATTTCGATATGAGCATGTTTGGTACGGCCTATCGAAAACCGATTGTGATCTTGACAACTCTTGGGGCTTTGAAGGCACCCGGGGAACGGCCTCGTATACCCCGCAAGCACGCCATGATGTTGCACGGTCACCTCACACCACAGGCCGCCGCATATCCGTCCGCTCTGGGCTCATGTAGGGCATACCTCCTCAGGGCCGCGCTCCCGCAGACGGCCTCCTCAGACGCGTCGGGGTGTGGCCCGCGCGAGGTCCGCCATGGCCTCCTCCAGGCCGCGGGCCGTGAGCCGGAGGCTGGAGGACGGGCGCTACGCGGCCGGGACATCAGACTTCTCCGGAGCGACTGCCAGGCAGCCGACGCCTTCCTCGACGAGAACCCTCTCGTCCAGTTCGGCCAGGACGATAGACCGCGACGTTGGCAGGCGCGCCCGCGCCGGCAGGCAGCGGCTGCCAGGCAAGGGCCGCCCGCGCCTGCCATCGGCGCCGCGCCGGGCGGGGCCCATCGAGGTTCCCAGGCGCGACTCGCTGGTCATGGCAACAGTCACAGGTGCGACCCTCGAGAGGTACGCCACGGCCGCGCACGAGTTCGAGGTCCACGCCCAGGCCAAGAAGCTCGACCTGCAGCCGCTCAGCCGCCTGGGCGACAGCCTCGCCCAGGACTTCGTGGACATCTGCGACGACGGCTTCGGGGTCTGGGAGGGCCGGAACACCTTGCACGGCTACCGCCTCCTGCGGCTCAAGACGACAGGCAAGGTGGACCGCCCGAAGGCGCTGGCCTCGCTCAAGGGGTGGGCGAAGCGGTCGCCTGGCCGCACGCGCCTGCCCCTGCCCGACATCATCGCGGACGACATCGCGCTGAACCTGGCGGGGCACGACTTGCCGCTGATGGGCGCAGCCGTGTCGCTGCAGACGGATACCTACACCCGGCCCTCAGAGGTGGTCGAGCTGCGTCAGGGCCAGATCCTGCCACCAGCTCCAGCCGCGAAGCTCGGCGCGCACTATGGCATCGTCATCGCACCCCCAGGGTGGTACGAGGTCACGGAGACGGGGGGACAGGGCGACAGTCTGCTGGTCGGCGACGCGGCGCGCCCCTGGCTGACGAATGTCCTGCGAATCCTCCACCAGCCCAAGGCCGCCGACTCCCAGAAGCTCTTCGACTTCACGTTGCCGGAGTACGAGCGGTAGATCAGGAAGGCCGCCGACCGCCTGAGTTACTCACCACTCGGGGTGCGCCCGCGCGTCCTCAGGCACTCAGGGGCCTCGAACGACAAGGCACACAACAGGCGGACTCTGAAGGAGATCCAGAAGCGCGGCCGATGGGCCTCGTCCGCGTCGGTGGTCCGCTACGAGGAGGGCGCCCTCATTTTGCAGCAGCTGCGCAAGGTACCGCAGCAGAAGCAGAAGCTGGCAGCGCGCAGGAGCAAGCTGTTGCCCCAGCGCCTGCTCGAGCGCCTTCGCCAAAAGTGAGGGCCACCAGCACATGACATCAGACGCCTCTTTGATTCGTTTCAGCTGCTGGCCAGAGCAGATTACATCTTTGGACATGTTTGCCAGTGGTGCGAATGAGAAGGATGCCCACTCATATCTTTCAGCTTTGCTGTGATATGCACGTCTGGGCGTGGTCTCTATGCTGTCTTGTGGTGTGTTTAGTTGTAGACGTTAATACCCCTCGGCCACTCCACGCCCGCCATAACATTTCAGCCTTGCGTGCCTCCGCTAACGCGGTGGCTCAAGTCCACCCGCCCTCAGCCGCCCTCGAGTTCCGATTGCATCGCTCGCAATTCCTTTTCCTTTGCCGCGGGCATGGAGGCACATGACATCAGACGCCTCTTTGATTCGTTCCGGCTGCTGGCCAGAGCAGGTTACATATTTGGACATGTTTGTCAGTGGTGTGAATGAGAAGGATGTCCACTCATATGTTTCAGCTTTGCTGTGATATGAACGTCTGGGCGTGGTTTCTAGGCTGTCTTGGGGTGATGATAATGATGATGCTCATGCTCATGCTCATGCTCATGCGCATGCGCATGCGCATGCTCATCATGATGAGGATGAGGATGAGGATGAGGATGAGGATGATGTTGCTGCTGTTGATGGTGATGTTGATGATGCTGATGGTGGTAGTGCTGATGATTGAGGTGTAGCTGCTGCTGATGATGGTACTGATGATAACAGTGAGCAGGAGGAGGATGAGGAGGAGGAGGAGGAGGAGCAGGATGGTTTGCCAGCGGCGGATGGAGGGTTGTAAGGTCGATCTTCCTCCTTGTGCCGTTGTCGTCGTCGTCGGAGGCGTCCTTTGCCAGCGGCGAACAGGGGGCGGGAATGGGAAGGGGGAGAGGGAGAGGGGATCGGGAGGGGGGGCGGTCTGGGGGGGAGGGGAGCCCCCCAGGTTATTCCGAGAGTTTCGAACGTCTGGGAGGCGGGGGGGGGGGGGGGCGTTACGACGTGTCGCCAATTTTTTCCAGGCAGTCAGGCTTCCGTGAAACGCATTCTCTCGAAGGTGGAGGAGTTTGTCTCTTCATCTTCCTCCTTCTTCCTCCTCCCGCTCCTCCTCCTCCTCCTCCTCCTCCTCCTCCTCCCCCTCCTCCTCTTCCTCGGCCGAGACGCGGCCGAGGCGACCTGGGCTGAGGCCGACGGCCCACAGCCCGTTCGGCGCGGCGCGAGCGGGCGTGCCGAGACCGCCCGCACTCGCCCGTGCCCGCGCGCACGAGTGTTAAAACTCCTCCTCCTTTTCCTCCCGCCCTCCCCTCTCCTCCTCTCCTCCTCCTCCTCCTCCCCTCCTCTCTCCTCCCCTACTCCTACTCCCTCCTCCTCCTCCTCCTCCTCCTCCCTCCTCCCTCCTCCTCCCTCCTCCTCCTCCTCCTCCTCCTCCGTCTCCGTCTCCTCCTCCTCCTCTCCTCCTCCTCCTCCTCCTCCTCCTCCTCCGTCTCCTCCTCCTTCTCCTCCGTCTCCTCCTCCTTCTCCTCCTCCTCCTCATCCTCCTCCTCCTCTTTCGGCCTGCCTTTGCGAGGCGGGTGGGGAGCCCACTGTCGTCCGCTTCCTGACTATCAGCATGCTCCACGCCTTCGGCGACGGGAATTGCTACATGCCCATTGCGGAGGACGGAATGGATGGATTGAGCAAGGGTGTGAAGCGAAGGATCGAGGGGCCAATCTTTCCCCGATCCCAGAGGTCCGTAATATGGGGACAGCTCACTTCCCCAATAGAAAGAAGGCCATGCCGCGCAAGCGGATGATGATGCTGATGATGATGACGATGGTGGTGATGATGATGATGGTGATGATGATGATGATGATGATGATGATGATAATGATGCTGATGCCGATTCTGATGATGATGCCGATGATGATGATGATGCCGATGATGATGATGATGGTGATGATGCCGATGCTGATGCTGCTGATGATGATGATGATGATGCTGATGCTGCTGATGATGATGACGATGATGACGATGCTGATGCTGATGATGATGATGATGATGATGATGATGATGATAATGCTGATGATGATGATGATAATGCTGATGCTGCTGCTGATGATGATGATGATAATGCCGATGATGGTGGTAGTGCTGATAATGATGGTGATGATGATGATTGTGGTGATGGTGGTGATGATGATGTCGCTGATGATGATAATGCTGATGATGATGGTGATGATGGTGGTGATGATGATGATGACGATGAATGATGATGATGATGATGATGATGATGATGATGATGATGATGATGATGATGATGATGATGGTGATGGTGATGGTGATGGTGATGGTGATGATGATGATGATGATGATGATGATGGTGATGGTGATGGTGATGGTGATGGTGATGGTGATGGTGATGGTGATGGTGGTGATGGTGATGGTGATGGTGATGGTGATGGTGGTGGTGATGATGATGATGATGATGATGATGGTGGTGGTGGTGGTGGTGGCGGTGGTGGTGGTGATGAGGAGGAGGAGGAAGAAGATGATGATTCAGAAGCCCCTTCCTGTGAACCGTCTGGGAGTTCGCTCGGCCCCTCTTCGAACGTCGTTTGGGCCTCGTGATGCCCTCTTTGCCCTCTTTGGCCGTTTTCCTGGGTCGTTCTGGCGCCTCGTGAGGACCCTCTAAGGCCATAGTGCGGTTTGTTGGGCCATGTGGGTTTGTTCTTTAAGCCCTATTTTGTCCTCTCGGGGCTCTCTCGGGAGTCTTCTTGGGACCATCGTGGTCCCTCTTGGGCAACTCCTTCTGCCGTGTTGGGACCCTATTGCGCTCCAGGGGTCATGTTGGGCCGCAAGGCTTGGGAAGCAGACACGTAGAACACCTGCAAGTGCTTCAATGCGCTTGGCAAGCCAGACCCTATCTTGGAGCCTGCATGGGAGCGTCCTAGGCAGCATTCGAGCAATCCTGGTATCTCAGAACCAGTCTTGAGCCGTCTTGGACAGCACATTGGGGACTTAGGGCACCGTTTAAGGTGTGCAGGTGTATATGAGGGACCGGGTCACCCGCGGGGGCACGAAGATATTCGCGCGTCGCGGGTAACCCGCGGGGGCGCGAAGATAATCGCGCGTCGCGGTTCGCGCGAAGATAATCGTGCGTCGATAGTTGTTTGTTGTTCTCTTGGGGGGGGGCAGCACGAGGGCGCGAGGCCGCGAAGGTAATCTCGCATCGCAGGGCGCGATGTGCGAAGTTAGGCGATCTATACAGAGAGAGAGAGAAACATAAACAAAAATACAAAATATGGAGAGGGTCGGCGTTTGAGCATCTAGAGACTCTCCTGCACAACCTTCGGGCATGATGCCACATTACTACTTATCAGGGGGGTTGCATCGGCTGGCCTCCAGGAGCATGTAGGAATGTATAATCAGACGCTCGGGCGGAAGAATGAGGGGGGTGATGAGCAGAGGGGGGTAAGGAGGAGGAGGACCAGAGTAGACCCAAGAGACACCAACGATGTTGGAATATAGCCTCCCCCCAAGCTTCCTCTTCATATGCCCCTACAACGGTTCACTTCCACAGAGGGACCTGCCTCGTTGGAAGACAACCGGTTGAAGACCCTGAAGCATGCCAAAATATCCTTCTCGGTATTCCAACGCCACGGATGAACCTGATTGTTGAGTCTTGGCGATCCTGAATCGTGCCAGAACGCCATTCCTGGGACCTCAACTCCGCGAGTCATCATAACTGCTGCGCCCTCAAAATCGTGGATCCTTCCAAAACACCATTTCTGGTACGTCGATCATGGGAATCCGTGAAACTCTTGCTAGTTTGTTTCAAGAACGTGCGCGGCGCAAATGCGAGAGCCACATTTTGAAAACGACCCGCCCTCAATCCGTGAAACTCTTGCAATCTTTTAGAACGAATGTGCGCGGCGCCAAGGCGAGAGCCACATTTTGAAAACGACCCGCCCTCAATCCGTGAAACTGCTGCACATGTTTAAAACGAATGTGCGCGGCGCGAAGGCGAGAGTCGCATTTTGAAAACGAACCGCCCTCAATCCTTAAAGCACTTGCAATGTATTAATGAGTGTGCGCGGCGCCAAGGCAAGAGCCTCATTTTGAAAACCACGCGCCCTCAATCCGTGAAACTCTTTCGAATTTGTTAAACGAATGTGCGCGGCGCTAAGGCGAGAGCCACATTTTGAAAACCACTCGCCCTCAATCCGTGAAACTCTTGCAAATTTTTAAAACGAATGCGCGCGGCGCTAAGGCGAGAACCATAGTTTGAAAACCACCCGCCCTCCATCTGTGAAGCTGTTGTCAGCGTTTAAGGCAAATGATGAGGAAGTCTCAGGCAAAACGCCCAGCACGCCCTGAAAACTGGCCTCGGGGTGCGACAGGGAGGAGTTATTCATAAGGAGAAGGAATGGAGGAGGAGGATGAGGAGGCGGAGGAGGAGGAGGGAGGGGATGAAGAGGAGGAGAAGGAGTAGGAGGGAGGATGAGGAGGAGGAGGAGGATGAGGAGGAGAAGGGATGCGGAGGACGGGGATGAGGATGGAGGATGGAGGAGGGATGATGATGAGGAGGAGGATGAGGAGGAGGATGAGGATGAGGATGGGGATGAGGAGAAGGATGATGATGATGATGATGATGATGATGATGATGATGATGATGGTGGTGGTGATGATGATGCTGATGCTGCTGCTGCTGCTGATACTGATGCCGATGCTGATGCTGATGATGATGCTGATTATGATGATGATGCCGAGGCGAATGAGGATGGTAATGGTGACGATGTTGATGATGATGATGATGATGATGACGACGATTCTGCGGATGCTGGTGAAAATCATGACGAGTGCAATAATCATGATGTTGACGATGATGGTGAGAGTGGTGGTGATGACGAGGAGGATGAGGACGAGGACGAGGATGGTGATGATGATGATGATAAGGATTAGGATGAGGATGGTGATGATGATGATGGCGGTGGCGGGGATGTTGATGTTGCTGGTGATGATGAGGATGATGCGGATGTTGATGCTGATGTTGCTGATGATTATGCGGATGCAGATGATGATGGCGATGCTGATGATGCTGGTGCTGTGGGTGAAACTGATGATGATTCCGAGCATGATGATGATGATGATGATGATTTTGATGATGATGGTACTGATGGTGATGGTGCTATCGGTGTCGGTGCTGATGTTGATACTGCTGATGCTGATGCCGACGAGGACGATGACGATACATATGGTGAAGCTGATGATGATGATGATGTTGATGACGATGATGGTGGTGCTGATGATGCTGATGATGATGATGCTGATGCTGATGCTGCTGATGCTGATGCTGATGCTAATGATAGTGATGATGGCGGCGACGACGACGACGATGACGATGCTGCTGATGATGATGACGATCATGACAATGATGATGGTGATGATGACGATGGTGGTGGTGGTGGTGATGATGACGATGGTGATGATGATGGTACCACTCGATTCACTGTGGATTAATGCCGCCTAGTGTCAAGCCACATGTTGTTCGTCGCCGTTTTTTTGCGGAGCTGTTGTTCGGCGCTCTCTGTCGCTCTGACCTGGCCCTCGGAGTCATTATTCTCTCTCCACTGTCACCATCAAGCCCTCTGCCACCTTCAAAAACGTCAGCATCATCACCACCAAACTCATCATCATCATCATCATCATCATCATCATCATCATCAGCATCATCATCATCATCATCATCATCATCATCATCATCATCATAAGCATCATCACTATCATCATCATGCTCATACTCATGCTCATGCTGATCATCATCACCATCAGCATCATCATGCTCATGCTCATGCTCATCATCATCACCATCATCATGCTCATGCTGGAGTGCAAGGTGGAAGTAGTAATAGTCGTAAAAGTAGCAGTAGCAGTAGTAGTAGTCGTCGTAGTAGTAGTCGTAGTCGCAGTAGTAGTAGTCGTAGTAGTCGTACTAGTAGTGGTAGTAGTAGCAGTAGTCGCAGTAGTAGTCGTAGCAGCAGCAGCAGCAGCAGCAGCAGCAGCAGCAGTAGTAGTAGTAGTAGTAGTAGTAGTAGTAGTAGTAGTATTCAGAGTAGTACTGCTAGTACTAGTAGTACTAGTGGTGGTGGTGGCGGTGGTGGTAGTAGAAGTAGTAGTAGTAGTAGTAGTAGTAGTAGTAGTAGTAGTAGTAGTAGTAGTAGTAGTAGTAGTAGTAGTATCAGTATCAGTATCAGTAGTAGTAGTAGTACTACTACTACTACTACTACTACTAGTCGTAGCCGTAATCGTAGTCGTACTCGCAGTCGTAGTTGTAGCAGTAGTAATAGTAGCAGTAATAGTAGTAGTAGTAGTAGTAGTAGTAGTAGTAGTAGTAGTAGTAGTAGGAGTGGTAGAAACAGCAGCTATAGTTATACTAGTAGTAGTAGTAGTAGTAGTAGTAGTAGTAGTAGTAGTAGCCGTAGTAGTGGTAGTAGTAGTAGTAGTAGTATTTGCAACAGTAGTAGCATTAGTAGTAGTAGGAGTAGTAGTAGTAGCAGTAGTAGTAGTAGTAGTAGGAGTGGTAGTGGGACGAGTAGTTGTGATATTACTAGTGGCAGCAGTAGCAGTAGTAGTAGTAGTAGTAGTAGGAGTAGTAGTAGTAGTAGTAGTAGTAGTAGT